GCTGCAAAGTCTACTGTTAGTCTAATGAGGATTACCTTATATGTGACTTGACATTTTTCTTTTGCTGTTTTTAGAATTCTCTCTTTGTCTTTAACTTTGGATAGTTGGACTACAATGTGTCTTTGAGATGACCTGTTTGGGTTGAATCTATTTGGAGACCTTTAGATCCTTTTTCCTGGATTTGGATGTTCATATCTTTCTCAAGACTAAGGAAGTTTTCAGATATTATTTTATTAAACAGATTTTCAACATCTTTTTGTTTTCTTCTCCTGGAATGCCCATAATTCAAACATTTGTGTGCATAATAGTATGCCATACATATTGCAAGCTTTATTTTTTACTTTTGTCTTCCTGTGTTATTTCAAAACTGATGTCTTCAAGATCAGAATTTTTTTCTTCTGCTTGATCTCATCTGTTTATACTCTCAGATGTATTTTCACTTCATTCAATGAATTCTTCAATTCTGAGATTTCTGTTTGATTTTTTAGTTATATCTTTATCTTTGTTGAAATTCTTGTTCAGATTGTGAATTGTTTTTCTGATTTTGGTGAACTATTTGTCTGTATTCTCTTGTTTCTTATTGAGTTTCCTTAAGATAATTAATCTGAAATCCTTTTCAGGCAAGTTGGCAATTTTTGATTCTTTGAGCATTATTTTGCTTTTTGGTGCTGTCATGTTACCTTGTTTTTCAGTGTTGATATCTGTGCATTTGGTGGAATAGTCATCTCTTTGAAATTTGTAGAGTGGCTTGCATGGGGGAAAAACTTTCACCTGCAAATGTGTCCTAGGGTGTTGATTGGGTCGACTGCAATGGCTTTGTTCAGGAAGGACGTGGAAGTATAGACTCTGTAGTCCCTTCAGCTGTAATCCACTTTCACTATGTCTGTGAGTGACTTGTGACCTACGCTTTGGAGGTTTGTGGCAGTAGTGGCACAGCTTTGTTGGGGAAGTGATCACTGGGTTGGTTCACAAGCAGGGGTTCTGCACATGCACCCTGTGTCATCTTGGGAGCTTGTTCACTGGGGATGTGGTTTCTGCATTGATTCTCAGGCTGGGGGTGCATGCATATGATATTTCAGGGTCTCTGAGACTTGTTTTCCAGTTGCAGGGTCTCTGTGCTGCTTCTCTGTTCCACCAGGGGCATGTCAGCCAAGCTGTTTCTCACTTGGATGCATGTGGGTGTAATGGCTCAAAGACTCAGGGGTGGATCGTCCAGGGGAATGACAGCTGAGTTGTTTCTCGGAGCAAGGGGCTTGGGTAGCTGAGTGCAGGTCTGCTGATGGTCCTTCTGTGGTGCTACTTCTTGGGGCCAGATTTAAGATTGTACTTCCTTTGGCAGTTTGGGAGCCGGTTTGCCAAAGAACGGAGTTCCTGAGCCACTTCTCAGGAGTGAGTGAGGCCAAGTCAGGCCTCCTTGAGGGAGCTTGTACAGTCACTTCCTGGATGGTAGGCAGAGCTGCTAGGCAGGCCTGCAGCGAGAGGGCCAGTACAGGTGTTTCATAGATGGTGGGCAGAGCCGCTAGGCAGGTCTGCAATGAGGGGCCCCATACTATGAGGCTGCTTCTGGGACTGTTGGCAAGGCTGTTAGGTGGGAGTGTTCAGGATGGAACCACCTGGCCTCTTCTCTGGGAGGGTGCAGGTGCACTTTATTTTCACTGGCCTATGGGTGTATTCATTAGGGTAGTGACCCATGAGTTGTTTTTCTTTGGGTTGGGGGCTCAGATGCACACAATTTAGTCAGCTGGTGGGACTGGGGGTTAGGGAGAGGAATGGGTAGTAGTTTGTTTGTGGCAGGTCTGCCTGTCTGACCTCCAGCTGGGGATATAGGAATGCATTAGTTCAGCAGTCTAGGATTGGCTTTCCAGACGGCAGAATTAGAGTCACAGTCGTTATGAGCCCAGGCTTCATTCAAGCCATCAGGATCAGGGCATTGTTGCCTTCTGTGTGCACTGAGATGAGGGCAGAGCCTTAAGGCTGGGGAAACTTCATGACTACTGACTCCAGGGCAGGGCTTGCTGCTGGCAACGACTCTGGTTTCAAGATGGTGCCATCCTACATCAGCTTTGCTCATGAGGGTGGGTGGTGGGGAATGCACAGTTTGTGCTCCTGTTCTAGAGTGATGCAGTGCATATATTCTAGGCTGCTCCCTACACTTGGCTCTGGGCATGTCCTGCAAAGGATCTGCCATCCTCTGTGGTGAGGCTTGGGGTTGGTTTGGGTCCTCTGCCTAGTTTTTTGTGGCAAGGGAAAATTTCTCCTGCACCAGTACCAGTGTTGGATACATGGTGGCTGAGGTCATGTGCCTTCCTCTCCTCTCTATGCTGCCATCCTGGGCTTTCATGCTCCACAGGGATCTCACTAGTCTCCTGCTGTACTCCTATGCTCTCCCACAGATGCTCCTGTCAATACTTAGCTGTTAGTTGCTCTGGTTCTTTTCTGAGAGAGGAACATGCCCTTGGCACCTCTAGTCCACCATCTTGCGCTGCCTCTTCTCATGTGAATCTTAAGATGGGTTTTTCTATTTCTGCAATGACATCTTTGGGATTTTGATAGGGATTCCATTAAACTGTAGATTGCTTTGGATAGTATTGACATCTTAACAGTATTAAGTCTTTCAATTCATGAGCATGGGATGTCCATCTATCTATTCAAGTCTTGTATTTTATTCTTTTTGATGCTATTGTAAATTGAATCATTTTAATTTTCTTTTTAGATTGTTCATTTTTAGTGTATAAAAATGCAACTGGTTTTTGTGCGTTGATTTTGTATCCTGCTACTTTGCTGAATTTATTAGTTCTAATTTTTTTGTGTGCAATCTTTAGTGTTATTTATATATGAGTATAATTTTTAACCAGAGATTTCTACTTCTTCCTTTCCATTTTGTTTGCCTTTTATTTATTTTTTCTTACCTACCTGCTCTGGCTAGAGCTTCCAGTGCTTTGTTGAATAGAGGTAGTGAAAGTGAGCATCCTTGCCTTCTTCTGGTTTTAGAGGGAAAGCTTTCAGTCTTTTGCCATTGAGTATGATGTTCACTATGGGTTTTTCATATATGGCTTTTATTACATTGAGGTAGATTTGTTCTATTTCTAGCTTGTTGAGTGTCTTTATCATGAAAGGACTTTGTCAAATGCCTTTTCTACATCAACTGAGATGATCTTGCAGTTTTTTCATCATCCTGTTAGTTTGATGTATTACATTGATTGATTTTCACACGTTGAATCATCCTTGCATTCCAGGAATATATCCCACATGATATAATCCTTGTAACATGCTGCTGAATTTGATTTGACAGTATTTTGCTGAGGATTTTTGCAGCAATGTCATAAAGGATATTGGTCTATAGTTTTCTTCTAGTGTCTTTCTCTAGTTTTGGTATCAGGGCAAGGCTGGCCCTATGGAATGAGTTAGAAAATGTTTCCCCTTTTTCAATTTTTTGGGAGAGTTTAAGAAGGATTGGTGTTGGTTCTTTCTTAAATGTTTGATAGATTTCATCAATGAAGCCATTAGGTCCAGGGATTTTCTTTGAGGAGGTGTTAATTTTTTAATTTTTTTTTTTTTATTACTGATTCAATCTCCTTTCTAGTTATAGGTCTATTCAGATTTTCTATTTCTTCATGATTCAATCTTGGTAGGTTTTCTGTTTCTAGGAATTTTCCCACTTCATCTAGGTTATCCATTTTTTTAGTATACAATTGTTTATAGTACTCTTTTATAATCCTTTTTATTTCTGTAGAATTGGTGGTAATGTTCCTAATTCCACTTTTTAGTAATTTAAGTCTTCTTTTTTTAATTTTTAGTTGATTTAGCTAAAGGTTTATTAATTTTTATTGATCTTTTTGAAGAACTAACTTTTGGTTTTGTTGATTTTCTCTTTTTTTCTGTTTTTTTATTTACCTCTGTTCTAATCTTTATTATCTTCCTCTTCTGCTAGTATTGGGTTTGCCACTTGATCTTGATAATGTTTTAATAAAAAAGCAAATGTTACTACATGATAAATCTGTCCATATTCCCACAACTGTGTTTTTATATGTTTATTTTTTTTCATAATCCCACATTTTAAATGCACTTAAAAAATTGAGAAGGAGCCAAAGGCTTCATCAACTGCCAAAGGGGTCATGGCACAAAAAAGGTTAAGAACCTTACTCCTATCTAGGTCTCCTTGCTGCCCCCCACAATTCACAACTTTCAGTACATATTCTCTTTCTCCTTAATTCACTGGGTGTTAAACACACTAGTATCTTTATTATTCAATATTTCTTGAGCAAATCAAACCTTCTTCTACCTCATGGCTTTTACCCTTGCTATTTTCTCTATCAGCATGGCTTGCTTCCTTACTTGCTTTAGGTTTTTACTTAGATGTCACCTTTCCCTTGAAGTCTTCTCCATCCATTCTATATGAAATAGAAATGACCTCTTCCCTATCCCCTATACTGTTTTATTTTTCTCTATGGCATCAATCACAATCTGATTATTTAAATTGTGTGTCTTTGCTATAGGTTGTAAGCTCAGACGGCAGGGACTTCCTCTTGTTCACTGTTCTACTCCCAGGTTTTAAATTGTGTCTGGCACATAGTAGATGCTCAATAAATGCATGTTGTGCAGAAAGTGCTGTATATGTTAAAGATGGCAATTGTTTTGCAAGTTGCAAATTTCTTTCCTCTCTGCCTTTTATTTTTATAGTTAATTTTATCAGATGCTTTATAATTTTTTTCCTTCCTTTTTATGCTCAGGAAGGCCTGCCTCTAAATATCTATATTTCATTCTCCATCTTTACTTTTTTGGAGTCTATTTTTTTTTTTTAATATTTAACTTTTAAATTCATCTGGAATAAGAGTACTGTGTCAGTTGGGATCTGAAATACTTAAATATATTTTTCCTCAGATGGTTAAGCAATTCTCCCAATAGCACTCATTTGGGTAATCTGCCCTTTCTCCATGTATGTTAAATGACTAAAAAAAAAAAAAAAAGCCTATTTGGGGCTTGTTTCTGTGTTGTCTGTTTATTAATTTGTCCATTTTCTTACACCAGAAAATAGAAGTTTATTTTTGTAGTCTTGCAGTCTTTTAATTTCCACTAACGGGCTTTTATTTAGCATTAATGCACTTATTTGGATTTTTCACTTAGGTAAATGAAGTAAAAAGTCTAATAAAAGCAATAGAAAAAGCATACAATTTACGTCTTGAGGCTGTTTCATGCAAATATCATCTCCAAATATATTTTCATCTTCTCTTTTTCTGACTGAAAGGCACTCAGCAGGTTGGGAAGTAAAACAGAATTTTAGGACCCCGAGAAGACACACAGCAGACATGTAATGTAGCGTGCTTAGCAAAGCTTTTTATATACTTTTAAGTTGAACTAAACGTAATGTACTTAATAAATTGCTATTTGGGTTTTTCTTTGGCATAAACAGCCATGGAATGTAAACTAACATCAAAGACCAAAGACTTCTGACACACTATACTATTAAATTAATCCTTACACAATTCCAGAGGGCCAAAAAGGTTGAGAAGTTCGACATCTGGGGTCTTGGAGGCAATACACGGTAGAGTTTGAATTCGGACTCTGGGCCGTGGATCAACAAAGCTCCTGTGATTTTAACACACAGTGTCTCAGGTAACCACAGGCTACTGAGAGCATCCTAGACGCGGTGTTCTACTAAGCCGGGACGCTGAACCGGAGCGGAGCTACAAAAAGCTCTCAGGCCAATCAGCCATTCATAAAACAAACCCCGGCTTCGTCCATTTCCGGCACAGTCCGCCTCCAACTCTTTGTAACGAAGGGCAAGCGCCTCGCGACATCACACAAAGGACTTGGGAACCAGTTTGGGTCCACGGGTCCGCTGGTCTTCCGGTAGACGAGACAGAAACGCACTTCGCAGGGCCCCTTGCAAGCTCCTTCGGAGGTCCCGTGCGCTGCTCCATCGTCCCACCGGTTATCTCGCGAGACGACGGGTCCGCGGAAGGCACAAACTTCCCTTTCTATAGAGCCAAGGTTTCGCTGTTAAGTTCCGGGGTGCAGAAGTGGCTTTGTGGTGCTGCCTGTCATCGCTCAGGTATCCACCCCATTCCATACCGAAAACTTGGCTTTCTACCGCTATGGAAGGGCAGCAGGGGCAAGAAGGTCACACAACCCTAGCGGTCGCCCAGGCTCATTTCAAAAAGGGAGAGTACGCGGCAGCCGAGGGCTTGTACACCGCTTACATTCGCCAGTGCGCCTGTGCGGCCGCAGCCGGCTCGAGTCCCGCGAGGTAACTATCGCGAGACGTGGGGGCGGTGGTTGCTTCCGGGGTGGGTGCGGGCCGGGGAGGGTAGCGTCCAAGAGCGGACCCCTGTGCTGTCCATTGGCGCGGGCCGTAGCCTGTGCTCCCGGTGTCCCCCCCTTCCACGTCACTCACGGTCCGGTCCACAGACTTAGAGCGAGTGGGGCTTTTCCACTTGTCGTGGTAACAGGCGGGTATTCCCGGGGAGGGGAGGGTGACAGGGCCGGGCAGAACTTAGTATCGTGACTCCAACCACACGTCGTGGCAGGGGCTTTTTGCTTTGTTTTTCATTTGTTATGAAAAACATTTAAATACTGCGTATGGACAAGAGTATGATGAACCTCTAGGAAGTTCATCGCTCGGCTTCAGCACCGTCCGTTCACCCGGACACCATTCATCCATGCTGTATAGTCATAATGTCATTACTGTCACATAATTCCTTCATATCGAATATCCAGTCAGTGTTGGAACTTCCCTGATTGACCACTATGGTGTTTCGTTGTTGTTATTTGGTTGCTTTGTTTTCAGCAGTTGCTTCAAGTCTGGATACATACCAGGTCTTTTTTAATCTTTAAGGTTCCTTTCTTATTTATTTTTTTCTTGCAGTGTATTTGTTGAGGAAACCGATTTGTGTGTCTTGAGAGTTTCCATATTTTGGGTTTCCTGAATGCATCTCTGATGTCATTTATGGTTATCTACCTCCTATATTGCTTGTGAACTGGTGGTTAAATCTTGAGGTTTGATTGAATTCCGACTCATTGTTATGGCAAGAATGGAAGAGTACTTCAGAAGGCTTGTGGAAAAGTAGAACTGGAAGATAACACAAATCTTTCCATGATCTTTTTGAAATAGCCTTGTACTTGAAGGTGGGATGCATACTTCCACCAGGAAGCGTATCATGTCAGGTTGTCTGTCCCTGAGGATGTTAGCCACCTCACCTGCTAATCTCTGCTGTCGAAAGCATCTTTGTGGTTTATGGCTGGATGTGTGTCATTTGTTGTTATTCCAAGTTTTGCCTTTACTGTGCTTATTGATGGTGTGGAGTGGGCCAGGATGAGAAAAGAAAGAACAGAGAGGTTGGTCGAACAGCTTTTTTGATAGTTGTGAGTAATCTGCACCCACCACCCTCCTGTTCTCTCAAGAATTTGATTTTTCTTGACAGGATGCCAGCTTGTTTTTTGTATGAGACTTAACTAAATACCATGGACCAGATTCTTATTCGTTTGTTAGACTCATATGGAATTAAACCAGAAAGATAAAATTGCTTTCTCATTTTAATAATACACTAGAATAATAGTTAATAGAAGTTTGCAAATAGGCAATAAGATGGTACCACCATCCCCACCTACCACCCCCCAAAAGATTAGTAAACGTAGAAAACTTAGTTCTCTATCCTTTTTCAAGCTCTAAGAATAGACTTACCTAGTAGGTTTTCAAAAGTATTCATCAGCAATAGGTATATTGATGCTGTCTAGTCTTCTTCCTCCTTTGCACACCTTAGCTTAAGGACACAGTGTCTATAGCAAATGTAATTTCTGCCCCTTACCAGCATGGGAAAGAAAATCTGCCATGGTGAAGTAGAATGGAGTTCACTGTGCCTGAATTCCAGTCTTGGCTCAGCCACCTACCAAGCACCTTTTCTCAGCCTTTGTTTCTCATCTGTAAATGAGCCTTCAATCCACTGGTTAAATTCTATTACAAGAGGTACTGTCATTACAGTAATCTCAATATTACAAAAAAATTCAGCTTCAACTGTTAGCCCATTTCTTTAAAGTATGAAACACAATTTTCACATAAAAAGTCAGCTTTTAGAATTTATTGTAATGAGATCTAATTCTAAATCTAACATTCTCTGATCATCTGAAAATAAGAATTTATAACAAAGTTATGAAGCTTCATACTTAATGACTAAAACCTTACTGGTGTCCTGAGGCTGCATTTATCTTCACATCCTCTACTGGGCAGCAGTTCAACTAGTGTCGTAACAGAGATAGATGAAGGGAGTGTGCCCTCTTGTTCCCTAGGTTCGAACAGCGGCGCTGGTGGCATCCAGAGGTGTCTTTGTACCCAGTCTCTCTGTGACATGGCTCACAGAACAGAAATTTTCTAAAATTGCAGCAGTTTCTCTCTATTGTTAGCAAACTTGGACTTGAGGGCTGTGCATACCTTTTATGGCAGCAGTAGTTACAGTCCCTGTCTGAGATCTCAAGTTTCAAGATGTTAAGAGAAGTAGCTTTTAATAACACTGACTGCAGTCACAAATATTTTCTGAGGACTATACTTTGCATTATGTGGTATAACAGAAATGACAGATAAGTTGAACCTGTGTCTTCTCCGTTTGGTTCAAATTTGAGAATCACTTTGGAAAAGTACAGAGGAAAACAGAATTGTCTGTGACACAGAGCAGAGTCTCTAATGTCCTCTGTGCAATGATTTGTCCTGTGCAGAGAAATGTTCAGGGCAGTCGGGGGCCGTGACCTGTTGAGCTGGTGGTTCATCAGAGCTGTTGGGTGTCCAACCCCTTACAGGAAAGTCTGCTCACTTGAGCTCTTTGGGCGGCCTCTGGAGCCCTCAAATGCACAGCTGATTCTGCATACAGGACATCCAAAGAAGACCAGAGCTCAACCAGCCTTCCTAGCAGGAAGCTGGCCTGGTGTTGGGGAGGATCCCGGTTAAGGCTGGAGGGAGGGCAACTGTATTCTGAGAGCACTTCCCAGCGATCAGCATGTTAAGTTTTCACCTAGAGTTAACTTGTTTTTCATTATTGGTAGAAAATAATTTTAAATCTCATTGTTTTAAGGCCACTATAAATTTGAGAATAAAATTGACTATGCATTTTGTGACATGTCCGTAGCAAACTTTAACTTTAGGCTGGCTTTCCCTCCTTGCTCAGCATGTATCGGATCTGTCTTCTTTGCTCTGCTGGTGTGTGCTTAGGAAATGAACAATCATTTAAATGTTATATTCAGCAAAACAAGTTGGCAATGAACAGAGGCTTTGAACACACTGTAAACAATATTCTTTTCAGCTTGACATTGTGGTGTGACAACCCTACCAAAGTATGTAACAGGGTTAAACAAAAATTGATGCCACTTCTTTATTTATGAGGGTACTTTTAAAAAGTTTGTGCAGAAACAGAATTAAAAGATAGTACAGTCTTTCCATGAACTTTTTGAAGACCTCTGGTATTTGTACTTTGTTTCTTCAGCTTGGTTTTCAGTGTAGATACTGCATGCTATATATAGGCTATGAAAGTTTGACAATACCCAAAAGAGAATGAAAGGAGAAACAAGAGGAATTTGGTAACACAGTGTTTTTAACGTGAACTTTCTGTTTAAAGCAAATGCAGCCCTGAGGATTTGGCTACTGCATATAACAACAGGGGGCAAATCAAGTACTTCAGGGTTGATTTTTATGAAGCCATGGAGGACTACACATCTGCCATAGAAGTCCAACCCAATTTTGAAGTTCCGTATTACAACAGAGGGTTGATACTGTATAGGCTGGGTAAGATTTTTTTTTTTCTTTTGTCATTGACTATACTCTTTTATTTCAGAGCTTTCAAATGATGTAAAACTAATGTGGTCATCATCAAGTTTTAAAATCATGTGAAAATTAGGTTTAGAGCTCAGAACAAAGGAAGTTTACCTGTTTATTTTAGGCTTTTGACAGGCATTATAGTTCATAGCAGAGCACTGGGGTGGGAATTGGACCTGGGCGCAGGAGTGGGGGCGATCCCATTACCTTTTGTTTGTGCATTCCCAACTGCAAAACAAAGGTATTGCTGATGATCACCTGTGAAACTTTTCTGAGTTAAAATCTTTGAAGACACATGAGACAATAGGAATTGAAGAGGTTTTAGATCCTTGCATTAAAGGGACAGTAGATACTGTTTCTCATTTAAAGTGTAAAAAAGAAAATTAATTTTCTGTTAATTTTTCTGCAGTCATGAAAACAGGTGATATAGTCTTGTTGAAATTTTATGATGTTTTATGTACTTACCTGTTACTTTTGATGTTTGATGTTACTTATAAATAAATTCATAGCTAATTTTAGGTGTATAATTTCATAAGGGCACACAAAATTACTTTGACATACACATCCTTATATGGTTGTTAAGAGAAAAAAAAATCCTTTACTCAAAGTGGTTGAAAGCCCATAAATATAAAAGCAAAAGTATGTGTATTCAAACTTTGCTATGAATAATATATAGAAACACTCAGCTTTTTTTCTCTTTTCCTTTTTTTTGGGGTTCTGGTACAGGATATTTTGATGATGCTTTAGAAGATTTCAAGAAGGTATTAGATTTAAATCCTGGATTTCAAGATGCTACTTTGAGCTTAAAACAGACTATTCTAGACAAAGAAGAAAAACAAAGAAGAAATATTGAAAAAAATTATTGAAATTTTTAATTGAAATAGTAACTCATGATTTTTACATCTGCATCTAACTGTCTCTAATTTAAATAGATATTGAGCTGTTTTGATTTATATTTAAGATAAAGATATTTATGCTTTAGTAATGAAAGTTTAATGTATTTAAGATAGTTAATTTCAGGTGGAGAAATGATTTATGTTGAATAAGTATGCTTTTTATAAAGTGTAAATGAGTAATATCAATGTGTAAGTGTATAGTATTACAGTAAAATATTTTTTAAAAAGGGAGGTATTTTTTTCAGTAAAACTATTTTCTTTTTTACTTTTTATTTCCAACGTTTTATTTAAAAAATTTTACATCTGCAGAACAGTGACTGTGTAATGCAATAAACGTCTATAAACTGTTCACTTAGATTCATGAGCTGTTAACATTGTGCCACATTTGCTTTTTTAAATATTTAAATAATATAATTTTTTGCTGAACCATTTGAAGGTGCAGATAACCCAATACTTCACCCCTAAATATTTCAGCTGCATCATATAGGAATAAGGACATCCTCTTTTATAGCCACAATACCATCATAACACCTAATAAAAATAATTCTATAATGACGTCCATGTCCAGCCCATATTCAAATTTCCCCAGTTATTTCCAAAATGTATAGATTTTTATTTCTGGATATAGAGCCAATCAAGCTTTACTGCATTTATCATTGTATCTCTTTGAGTTCTTTTAGTCTTGAATAGTCTCCTACCCATTTTCTCCGCATAGCTTTTGCTTTGAGGGTAAAGCTACTTTATATAGCTAAGCTAGAGAGACATAACATTTGGGCTTAAAAATAAACACATGTCCTACAGGAGAGCAATTTGAAACAATTCAACTTACACTTGATTTTCTATAGGAATCATTGATAATAAGATAGGTTAAGATTTAAATATTGAACATAGTTTTCTGTCTCTGGATAATGACAATAATTATTCTCATCATTAACATTTACTGAATACTTAATAGAAACCAAGTACTGTTCAAACCATTTATATATAGGTCTGGGATGGGGGCAGATAGAGAGGTGAGGAACGGACAAAAAGTACTTCATAAATATAAAGCTTTAAAAAACTGATTTTATTTGGGTGCTGCCAGCAAATGATTAGGCCGTGGTCAGGCTATCAAGAACTGGGAGGAATGTGAAGGGAAAAGAAACCCAAGCCAGCAATGTCCATCTGCAGTTTTTAGTTTCTTATTGTTGTAGTTTGGCTTTGAAAGATACCCTGCATCTCGGGATCCCCCAAATTAGTTTATTACTGCTGTTGAAGAGCTGTTCTGGAGTGGAAATTCCTCAAATCAGGAGAAAGGAGTGTGTTTGTCAGATGTCTCCAGACGAAGGTGCAAAGTGACCCCTGTGGGCCTTCTCAGATGCAGTCGCCATCAGCAGCCCTAAGAAGTTTTTTGAGTAAAAGTGATCTCATGAAGCAGAAAAAATAATTGCCCTGTTTGTAGTTCATAAATAATATTTGGCAAAATACATGGAGATTTGGGCTGCAGGTGAACAAATATTAAGAGGAAGTTAAGTTTGATGGCCTAGAAGCAAAAAAAACCCTCTATATTTCCGGAATTATTTATATTTTCCAATATGATTTATCTTTCCATTTGTTGGAAATATCTTTAAAAGAAATCATGAAATTGCATGAAAATGTGGAAAAATCCCTTTTAAGAAAACTTTAAAAAAAAAAAAAAGCCAGGTTGCTTGACCTTGGGAGAACTTAAAGCCATTCCACCCAGAGAATCAAATAATACTTTAGTAACTTTATTTGCTCTTGGCTTATATTTTCTTTTCTTTCCTCTTGACTGGGATCAGATGTAATATGAAATCAAAAACGTGTTAAAAAATTACATTTGGTTTTTCCAAATTACATCTGGATTTTATTCAAGTTTCTTTATCCTTTATCAGAAAAAAATCGCTGAAATTCAGAATCATCACTTGCTGATTGGGAAGGGGGACCCAGGTACCTATTTTTCTCTTGTCTTGTGACTGGAAATAACTAAAGAATAATATATTTACCTTATTTATCTTCAAAACTTTAGGCATTACACATTCAGATTCTAAGTTTCTGATTGACTAAATAATACCTTTGAGATATACCTTAAAGATATTCTTTTATGTTTGTTATCATTCATATTTCCCACATTTCAATATTTGTTGAGTTCTTCCTTTTTTCTACTAGAAAAGTACCCAAACTATATTGTTTCCTAGTTTTTTTCTCTGCCAAAAGCAAAGCAGAAAAGAATTGTGGTTCGTTATAAAGTTTGTCTTTTACAAAGTAAGGGAGAATAAATGGATTTAAGTTACTTTTGAGTTTAGAAAGTTACTCTTAACACTAGTTAAAAAGCGTGGAACTATTTGTTTTTTTCTGAAATCTGGAACTGAATGAGGCCCATAACTTACTTTATGATAGCAAACAGTGGTCCAGCTGTGGAGTAGCAAACTAAGTGTTCCAATCAGCTTTTTGTCATTATCTATTTGCCCTTTTCTGTATTTTTTCTGCTTTTTCTGTCTTTTATTGGTCTCTCTGCCCTCCCAATCCTGAACATAGTCTTGGTCCCTTGCCATTTTGCAGATCTTAAATATTTTCAGCGGGCATAACATAATTGAACACTGCCACTCAGGGCAAATCAATTCAGCATTTACGCTAGTCTTTCTCTCAATATCTCCATCACTGCCAAGTCTAGTCCCCTTAAAAATATAACTAGAAGTTTCAAATAATTAAACCTATCTCTTACTTTACTTTGCTTCTGCTAAGTGAAGAGCCATTAAATGAAAAAAATATTTCCATCAATTTTAATTGGAAAAGTTATGAATTCCATTTTATCCCCAGATACCCACTTTTCGCAGAGAAAAATAACAATTGAGCAATGAAAACAAGTTTCTATAGGGAATAATTTAAAAGTAAACAGTTTGTATGTAAACTGTAAAAACATGAATGTTTTCTATATTTGTTTTTTCTTTCTGAAGCTTTAAAAAAACCCCTGCTTTATTGAGATACAATTCGTATATTGTACTATTCACCCATTTAAAGTGTACAATGGTTTTGAAGTATATTCAAAGTTTCTGCAGCATTTTTTAAGACCAATTTGTCAAGCTTTTTGGATCACAGTCTTTTTACATGCAAACTGCACTTAATAATAATAAAGTTATAACTGAAAAACACCTTTAGGCAAATTAAAGACTAAACACAAGAGTGCTTCAAAAACCTAACAGCACGTGCACAAAACTGATTGAAGGGTCGTAAGAGATGATTCCAATTTATTTCATGTGATATTCTCTGACTAGCACCTTGTGTTGAGTGAATCAGAAGGTGTGTCTCTGCCTGAAACTATGATGTTGAATTTATTTAGTGTGTTTGGGTTAACAGATTGTTATTTTTTAAAACTAATTGTTGACAAACATGAGGCATAACTTTTTAAGAGCCTAGTGAAAAGCTGACAGAACAGTTGCTGTGTGAGCTCAGAGTGTAATTTTAACAGCTTCTGTATAAACTCACATTTTGGTGTTTTCTATATTTCTCAAAAATGTAACAATAAGTTATGAGACTGGGGTTCCATTTTAAAATGGCATTTGATTGTAGAGGGAGAGAGATTTGTTAAATTTCACATCTAATGTTAGGAAACTTCAAAAGACACCATTTCATTCATTACAAAAAAGAAAAGAGGATAAATGCAATTTAATTTTTATTTTTGGAAAATAAAAGCAATTGGCAAGATTAAGAAAACAGAGTTTATGCTTTTTAAAATCATAAGAAGATAAAAGCACGCATCCATGTAATAAAGACAAATGAAAAAAGGAAAAAAATCCTGTAAGGAAGTCCAGAAAGAAATTATGGCCTGTGAATATGGATGTAACAGTAAAATAAAAGTACAGCAGTATAATCCCAGGGTTGCATGTGTCAGGACAGAAACATGTGTGCAACAGTGCGGTGAAGACGGCCTTTTTTTTCACAGAGGAGGAAGCTGAGGCTACGAAATTCAGTAACTTGCTCAAAGCTATGTCCAAAATCCAAATAAATATTTGAAACTGCAATTAGTATCAATTTTTCTGTTGTTGTTGATGTTGGCATCAATTCAAAGCAGATATGTGGACTTTTTTCTTTATCCTGATACAAAATTTAAATTGCTCATAAAATGTTTTAGTACCTATCAAGGTGAGTATCAAATCAATGTTAAAATATATTTAGTTTTTACTCTGAATCATTATTGCAATACTAGAATTGCTTGTTGGTCATTTTCCTTCTTGACTGAAAGCGGATGCAGAAGATGGTGAAAAGCAGATTACTATTAAGAGCAAACTCCATTAGGAAGCTTGAAAGCCCTGGCTGCCAATGTGTAAATTTGTGTTTTATATTGAGAAAAAGTATCCTGCACTTTGAAATAAGGCAAAAGGCGGTTGCATGTCCTTTCAGTATCACACTGAGCACAGTATAACAGACCCACCTAAGGACTGCTTATTTCTCCAGGGCGTTGGCCTTTTTTTTTGATTTTCTATTTACTCTTCATTAGGACGCAGACTCTGTGAGATTACATGTGACTTGCAGATTTTTGTTCAGAGGAGATGCAACTGAATTCTGTCTGGTAGGAAAGATAACCCTGAAGGTTATGGTTTTATTGCCCTGAAGAACATTAGCCAGTTTTACATCTAAACTAGCTAATTTGTTCCCAAATTCTTTCTTCATTGACCACAAATACTCAGTTCTTCAAGTGGCTCTTTTACCAGCCTGGTGGTTCTCTCATTTGAGTTAATCATTTGTCATGTTTTCATTCTGTATTCTTGTGAGTCATGCTTAACTTTTATAAATATATATTTTGATACTACTATTGAAAAAACACAAAAAAACCTTAAATAGAGCTTATTATATTGTCACCTTATTTTTAGCAGTAATAAGAATAAAGGGGGACTGAAAAGTTTCGATTTTTCTGATGCTTATATAAAATATTAAGCAATTTTTGTTTGGATTGTATGGAGGTTTAATTGAGCTCTGGCTGAAGCAGAGTGTTAAGTAAGACCTTTACCTTAAATTAAAACAGGTAAAAAGTATGCCTTTTAGAAGTAGCAAAAAATGCAGAAGAATATATTGTAAAAAGTGAAAGTTCCCCTGTTAAGACCCTTCCTTATACTCACTCTCACTGTCTTGGAGTAACCACTGTTAAGTTCATACTTATCCTTCCAGACCTTTTTCTTTGTACAAATACATGGACCCATGCATGCATATACATGCATAGAATTAGGGTATACAGATTATTATTTAGTAACTTAAATCGTTTATCTTGGAAATTTTTCTATGTAAGAACATAGAAAAATTCTGCTTAGACCTATAATATTAAAAACCACATTAAAATGCCTGCCAATTTTTTTG